GGGATCTCGTTCGCCGGCGACAGCGCGTCGTCGCATCGGCGAGATATTGGCCGCCAGAGCCGAACGCGTCTCGATGCGCGCGCGCGTCTGCGAATCGCTCGGCGTGGAAGCGGAGGTACGGTCGAAACCATCGTTGGAAACGTCGCCGCGTCGACGATTTTCCTCGCTCGTGCTCCTCGATGTCCGACGTTTGCCGGACATCTTTGTCTCCGGGTCGCGCGTGTGTCGGTCGTTCGTGGACTGGTCGGTAGCATCTGGAAGCGTCGCGATTCCCGGTCGTCGTCGTCGTCGTTGGCCCGCTGTGCGAAGGAACGAGGAGACAAACGTCGATCGTCGTTTCGAAAACTGAGAGAAAAAAACGCGTTCGACGCTCACCGTTAGCCCGGGACGTCCTGCCGCTGCCAACGGAGGAGGAGTGGACGGTGCAATAGTCGTGGTCCAATCGAACCAGTCCGCCGTCGACGATCTCGTTCTCGGGGAGGACGTCGTCGCACGTGACCTGACGCGACAAAACACGTCTATATATATATATATATGTAGAGGTCGGCAAAGTTGCAAAGCCTGTTTCCACGTGGTTTCGATTCGACTCGAAAAGTTGGACGAGAAATCGTTTGAAAAGTTGGATTTCGATTCGCGAACGAACGGACGATCGCGGAGAGTCGCGAGTTACCTTGGTCTCTCGGAGGAGCGGTTCGGGCGGAGCGCGTCCGACACGTTGGCGGAAGTTTGAAATTGGTCGGACGCATCGTCGAGTTTGGTCGGATTTCACGGGCGGACGAGTCGACGACACGGGAAAAGCATCCTCGGAAGCTTCGAACTGTCGGAGCAAGCTCTCGACGTCGCCGGCTCGCAGAACTACGACAGAAGGAAAAGTCGATTCGTTTGGAACGCGTGGAAAGAGACTCGCGCGTGGAACGTACCCGGTAGACGTCTAGGTTCGTCCTGGTCGCGCCGTCGTGCCGTGCGTTTTTTCCTTCTCTTGTTTTTCGGTTTCGCCGTACCGGCGTGGTCCGTCCGGCTCGGTTCGCTCGGGTCGGTGGAACGCGGTTCGGCGGTTTCCGTCGCGTACTCTGCGAGGATACGACGAAAGCACGGTTAGACAACAGGCAAAGCGAGAGGAGGAAAGCGGAAATTTCGTTGGAAAGGCGACGTACCCGGACGGCCGGGGGAAGGTGGTTTCGTCGGCTCGTCTCGACTCGGCAGAGTTTCCGCGCCGGATGGCACGACGTCGACGCATTGGTCCGCGTCGGAGGCCTGGAAAGGAACAATGGTCGGGAATAAAAGTCGGACGGGTGGAGAGCAACGGTACGGTACCTGCGAGCAAGCAACGCGTTGGTGCCAGTCGGTAAGAACCTTGGCGAAATGTTCCTCGACGGCGTCGATGCGACAGACGGTGGAGATTTCGTCGTCGCTGGGTTGGCGTCTGAAACAGAAACGGACGCGACGCCGGTGGTTTGGACGGGAGAGAGACGGCGCGGTACTCACTGGCGTTGCTGGTTCCAGAGACGGTGAGAATTGGCAACGTGGAAATGGGTTTCCGCGTAATCGAAGTCGTTCTCGACGATACGCATGAGCAGGTCTTGAGGTTTTTCCATGTAGTTTGGCT